GTAGTCTAGTAGACGTTTACCAGAATTTCAGAGGTCCTTGCTGCCTCCATCATCAGCAAGAACAGAAGACTGAAGAGAGATAGATGGAAGTCAATATTTTATAGACGAATTTATTATCGCCCTGATGATAGAGGCAGCAAGGGCTTCTGAAACGTCGGTAACCTTCTACTCGGCGCTAAAATCCAAAAGACAGTCATCTTCGTTCTTGCCGCAGTGAGAAACTAAACTCAAACTTTGTTAATGATTTTTGTGATGAATTAAGTCTATGCAATTTAATATCTCATCGACGAAAAATGTGCGATAAATATGAATGGTACGAACTTTTGAGGCAGCGAAATACAACGAAACAATACTTTATACACTGCGGCTTTAACTATAATCCTGCTTGTAATTGTTATGAACTAGCGAGGTATAAAGGAATTGGATCTGTGCACGTCTAAATGGAACTTAAAACAATGAAATTATGTTGAGTTAATTCCTTGATACCTTGAATCCCTGTCCATTGTCTCTACTTGTTTCAGGAAGCTGTAAATAGTGACCTACTACAATTTAACAAGAACAAATAATGGGCTTCAGTATGTGCCATTAATTGTATAAGAGTGGTGTGGGTTTAATCCAAATTAATATAAAGCTGTAATTGCTTTCAGATAAGCCATTTTCCTAAAAACGTTCTTGCTTAGATGGGATCTGATGTCATATTTTGAAAACGGGTTCATAGATGTTCAGAAATAAACCTGGTTCGGTTACACAGTATTTTGCAATTACGATTAATAATTTGACTAACAGCTAACGGGAAGTAAAGATTAAATTTACCCCGAATAGGGCAGGGATTAAATGCTTTTATGGATGTTTATGGCTAATAAACTATGATGTGGCGTGGTTATGGTATGAAATAGATTAAAACTCATTTTTTAATAACTCATACATCTTAACTTTTCTTCTTTGTAATTCTTCATTAAGAAATTTGATTATGTCATGAGCAAAAACGCGCACAAGAACAGAAAGGCATGAAGGTGAGAGATATGGAACACATTCTGTTATATTCTCGAAGTTGTGACCCAATTTTGACGGCAATGACAGACGACGATGATTCCTAAGATTTATTCTGATTGACATGTTTAAATTATTTGGGTATTTCTTCAATATTTAGCGGTATATTCTATAAATAACATAAAGGTATAGCTGTTGTCATACCGGTTATATTTTCTAAACCGACTGGGTTTTCTTCTGCATATTAGTATCATAAAAATTATCGAAATTTGAAATGATCACACTGCAAAGTGTGCACCGTCTTATAACATCAAAATGCGTGAACGGTCTTCAATATAATGACATTTTTATGTTTACGAAGTTTGAGATGAAATATTCGAATCAAACAGGGACCACTGGAGCAGCCCAGTAGGTTAACTGAGTTTAAAGAAGTATTCTGCATCTGGTGTTGCAGCCGACCTACTTGTGTTCTGTGGAGAACATTAAATATTTCCTTAGTGAAACAGAAGTGAAATGGCAGTGAAACGTGATTATGATATAATCGTGTGGTACGACAGAGGACAATAGACGTAAGGAGTATATATTTTTATCGCAGTATTAAATAGGGGGAGACTGGTAGACGTGTATGCGTGTTCCGAATTTGCGTGATACATGAAGCATTCGTTATTATGGTCTTTGGACCGGTCTTTTTTCTTGGGGAATTTATTTTCCTGTGAAATATTTCAGGAGAATATTTGTAATAGAAGTGTTTGAGCAGAGATATAAAGCCCAGTTATAATGTAAGATGGTTTAAAATGTGTGTATTAGTAATAATTAACTTCCATTTAGTTGATATCTTAAGACTAATTTATTGTGACTTGTAAGTTTAAAAAGTCTTTACAGTATTGACTTTGAGGCTGAACTCGAACTTTAGCCATAGTTTGTGATAGGACGAAATTTGAATAACTACCATCCCAGGTTCGGCAACAGACTTTAAGGCCTAACGCTACAATGTTCTTAATAATGATATTTGAAAGCTCTGAGCTTTTCTTTTTTATAATCCATACATTTTAACTGAAATAAGAAATACAGAAATATATACCTATAAGTATCTTTAAAATGTAAACCTATTTGCAGAAGACACAAAACCTACAACTTTTATTAACTTACAGCAAGACCTAAATAGATGGAATTTTCTATAGAATGGAACTCTGAGATATAAAGATTTAACAAGCCTATCTGATTTATGTGTTAGACGTTTTGAGTCTTGTTATAGGCACCGACTGTTCTGAGATAGTGTCATTCCACCCTAATAAACTTCAAAGCTCATACAGTGTCGTTGAACAACACAAATCAATTTGGAAAAGTCCTTGCCGAAATTCAGCTGGTCAAGAAATTCATCACCCGACAGTTTACTACCGTGATCACAAGGGTCCTCTACTGGACTCTATGATGAGCCAGTTGAATCTATTCCATATTCTCACGGAATTCTTTGAAGTTAAATTTTGATATTTTACTCTCAGCGTCTGGTTCTCCGAGTTAGTCTCACCCGTTAATACTGGCATTTGTCATGTCTTGCTACGTTACACATATCCCGCCAGTCTAATTATTTATTTGTTTACATTAATGGCATTTGGTGAATAGTATACATTCTGAAGTTCCTTAAGCCCCCTGTTAGTTTCTGTCTCTTCTCAGTTCTTTGTTTTCAAATACCTTTAGTTGTGTTCTTTCTCCAGGGTAATTTAAAGGTGCTAGGAATATTTAATACTTTTAAGATAGGACTAAAAGTTTCTGACAATGGCGTCTTGTAAAAAGCTAAACAGGTATTTTGAAAATTGTCAACCGAAGCGATATACGATGTTTAAAATAACAGTCAAAAACATTAATTCTTTTGTGTGATTTGAGGTTTTCACATCGGAGAATATGAAGACAGAAATCTTTAATTCTTTTGTTTGAGTGATTATGTAGAACGCGACGGGATA